ATTCATATTATTCAATGTATCAGTCTTGAGGACCATAAGAGTATGGTTATATTCCAAAGCGTATGGATTCAAGCTTTGAAAATACAATCTTAGGCATATTCTATCTTTAAGATTTATAGAATGATTATGTTTCTCATTGTATATCTGTATGCCTTTTCTTTCTCCTTTTCAAGGTAATGGTGTGGTGGTCCATCTCGGCCAGTTTTTTGAGGAGATCGAAAAGAACGAGGCAAAGGGACTGAAGGATTGGAAAGATCGCCTCCTTGTTTCTGACAGATCTCATATTGTTTTTGATTTCCACCAGGTAAATCTCATGGAGTTTGTTCCTGTTCATTTCTTGCTTTTCATTCTGTTTTTGTAGTCTTTGAGTAGCATGGAGAGAGAGTTGTAATTGATTCAAACTTAATCAGAGCACTGTGATATGATATAATAAGATAAGTTAAAGCAATTTTCCCAAATCAGAAAAAAAATTCATGTTAACATCTTTTCATTTTTTATATCAACCTTTGTTTCTTTCTTGTTCTTCTGCTAGAGTGTAGATGGTCTTCAAGAGCAAGAGAGATCCAAGGATAACTCTGGCACGAAAACCCTGGGTACAACGAAGAAAGGTATTGGTCCTTGCTATTCAAGCAAGGCTGGGAGACATGGCTTGCGGATGGCTGACCTGCTCGGAAACTTTAGTGTCTTTGAGCAGAGACTGAGAAACTTAGTTGACTCGCACAAAAGAATGTTTCCTGGTGAGTGAACAGAGTGGGGATGTGCTTGTGAACCTTGAAATACTGGCAGGTAGTTCACGCACTAAAAGTATTTTGTATGAATCTAAGCAGTTTTATTTTCATTTTGATTCAGAGCATGATATACCTATGGTCTATACATCCAAAATATTTACATAGATATTGTATAAAGGTTTTACTTGTGTATTAACATATGATTTGTTTAATGACTTTTTTTTTTTAATCTATGTACGAGATTATTATTGTGCTGTGAAAATTATTGTTCTCTGTTCTTGAAACTTTAGTAACTACTTGTGGATTTGTCTCAGAGTTGCAAGTGGATGTAGAAGAGGAAGTAGCTAAGTACAAAAAGTATGCAGAACGGATGCGTCCCCTTGTCACCAACAGCATTGCTTACATCCACAAGTGTCTCCATAGCAACAAAAAGGTCTTAGTTGAAGGTGCTAATGCTGCTATGCTTGACATAGACTTTGGTAAGTGGGTTCAGCCATATGTGAGAAGTGGCTGACGGCCTCATACATCCTGTACTAATCAGTAAACATTGTCATTACAGTATCTCCTGCAAAATATCTTATCATTCAAAAGCTATTCCAATGATCCAGGCATAGGTGCATCATAACTTCGAAACTTCACATTCTCTTATGCAACAATCTTTCCTGCCAGGTACTTATCCCTATGTAACATCGAGTAACTGTACTATTGGAGGGGTATGCACAGGCCTTGGAATCTCTCCTTTGTACATTGGTGAGGTCTATGGTGTAGTTAAGGCCTATACGACAAGAGTTGGTGTAGGGCCTTTCCCCACAGAACTCAAGGATGTAAGTAAGATGTATAGTCATTAAAACTAAAATAATTGTAAAAGGTATATAATATATTCAGATATTGAAATTAGATTCTACGTTTACATTTGCACAGATGTTTATACAGCAGATGTTGGATCTATATTTGCGCAAATGTGTAATGAACATGTGTAACAAATAATGCTACACTTGTGGACTTTCCTTCCTCTTCTTTTTATGCCTCTCTTTAATTTTCTTTTCTTTTTTTTCTATTTCTTCTCTTCCTTGAATGTTCTCGTCTCTACTCATACTCGTGTACCTGTGCTGCCTTGTCTTTTGTCTCATTCTTTTACTAATAGGTTGAAATTGAAAATAACATTAACAAGTATTTAGAATGCAATCCTCCAACAACACTGAAAATTCTCTGTAATGTAATGAAGAACATACAGATCTACATCAAAATCTAACAAGAAAATTGATTTACTTCTGGTATTAAGATCCATTTTGGGGGAATTCCAAGAGTTCTTTACTTTCATCAAAATCTAACAATTTGGTTCTTAGTCTTAAAGTTCCATCACCTTTGTCCATAATTTTACCCAACTCTGCTGATAACTCAACCATTAGATATTATCATTTAGGTAAAGGTAATGAAAATTAGATCTAATAGATTCTTACCACTGTTAGGGTATTGGGGAGCTCTTGCAGAAGAGAGGAGCAGAGTTTGGCGTGACCACTGGAAGGCCGAGACGGTGTGGCTGGCTGGATGTTGTCTTGCTCAGACACACCAACATGGTCAATGGCTACTCAGCTATTGCCCTCACAAAACTAGATATTTTAGACCACCTGAAAGGTATGGTGTATTATGTATTTAGGTTTTGAAACCTTGTAATAACAGGAACCTATGAAAAGAGGATCTTTTGGTCAAGTGCCTGAAATATCACCTTTGGTTGTATTTGAGTCACTAAAGATAATTAGTAAAACTTTTTACATAATCCCTAGATGTTTGAACTTGAGAACTTTGTATATGACAGTTACCCAAAAGGTGCTATGCAAGTCATGATTATTCTTCCTTGTTCAGAATTGAAGATTGGTAATGCCTACATTAGAAGAAATGGAGAGAAGATTGAGCACTTCCCAGCTGACATGGGAGAGCTAGAAGATATCACGGTACATATATATGCTGATGCTTTCATGATTTTATTGTCTCTTTCGGTATTATGGCATTATTGAGCAAAATGAAAATTTTGAAATAAACATACAAAATAGAAATGGATTTGATCTTTTTCACTATGTTTTTTTCCACCTCTCTTTGGTTTTATACTACTCATAAAGCATTTTACTTTCACAGCCTTTTTCACCTATCTGCAGTTTTGTACTCATAATATAATGGTTTATTTCTAACAGGTTGAGTACATCACATTGCCAGGATGGGAAGAAGACACATCCCAGTGCCGCACATTTGAAGAGCTGCCTCAGAATGCCAGAAATTATGTAGAAAAAATTGAGGAACTGATTAATGTGCCTGGTAAGTATAATGTCTTTCTTGCAATTTAATCACCACAAACCAAACCATATATGTGACATACCCCATCTTTGGAATTAACTGATTTTATCAAAAGGTTTCTAAAATATATTCATCTTAAAAAAAGAAAAAGAAAAAGAAGAAAAAAGAATTATTAGTATTTTTGTCTGGATTTCTTTAGCTTCTCTAACTGCCTGAAATAGTTTGCTTCTTCAGATAGTTTTGTTTTGATAGGTTAGGTTATTTCAAAGAATTATCCTATTTAATTGTAGATGATTTCTAGTGTATTATCCTCTCTAATTTCAGTTAAATGGATTGGTGTTGGCAAATCCCGATCCTCAATGATCACGGTTTTCTAGGAACATGCAGCTCCAGAAAAAGAAATAAGGACTAATTGTGGACTGAAATTGACATCAGGTGAAGAAAAGACAAAAATAGAATACAGCATAACAGAGAGACAACATGTGTGTATTTTATGTATAGTTTGTAAGTGTGTTAAACTTGAAGAGCATTTAGAATTGAGTTTCAAGCTATGACTGAGTAGGATATAGTTATGGATAATCAGAGAGAGAATAAAATCTTGGTTTTGAACCTACTGAAAATTAGCATAGTTATGATATAGGCTATTTGCCTTTACATAGAGAATGCTTGCAACAAACATAAGCCATAATGCCTTCTGTGAAAAATAGCTGCATTTGTTAGACTCAAATTATCTGAAATTTTCCTGGATGCTAAGAAGTAAGGATTTTTTAAATTTTAAAGGACTTTCATGAACTCTTGATTGATTTTTTATTGGTTATTTTAATACCATTGTGTTTAGTATAAGAGATGATTTGACTGGAGTAACAGGTTTAAGGAAGAAATTGTCAGGAGTCTTATGCAGGTGCTGTTAAAGGTTGTTAAAAACTTACAAAGGAGGAATACATAACACAAAATGTGAAATGGATTCATGATGTTTACCACCTTGTTTTATTTATGTGCTGTTTGTGTTGTGTTTTACACTCGTTTTAATAAGACCCTTAAATTCACTGTTGATTATCTTGTTTCTTTTTATGTCCATGGTTCTGCTACTATTTTCCTTTGTTTGTCTATTGTTGTAAGTTTCAAATTTGTGAACGTTTTATCCTTAAGATTCAGAGATATGATATCTTTATTGCATTTATTGTTATATGCACATTAGTCAACAACAATGTCCGCAAGTCCGGCAGTGTTGACCTATAATGACTATTGGTATTAAGAGGATATGGAAGTTGTGTTTTTCATAACTATTAATTAGGAGGTATATAATTATGTATGATGTTTTTTTTTTCTCTCTTATAATGGAGATTTATTGACTATCTTTTGTGTTGCATTTGTGTTTTCAGCTGTCACAGCTCTGGTAAATGTTGGTGATGATTACTTCAGCCAACAGAGTCTGAGGGATGGATGCAAGAAGTCTTAACAGTATGCATATCTGACTTGACGTCTGCTGTGATACAGTTTTCAGATACACTGACACAAAGTTGGTTCTTTGAAACCAGTTTTTAAAACCTTATTTTCTTTTTTTTTTTCTTAATAAACAAAGACAGCTAAAGATAAATTATTTTATTGCATTTTTGTCTTTTTTTTCTCTCATTTCATTTTTAACCTTAAACTACATAGGAAACAAACTAGGAATCATTGAATGGGTAACATGAAGGACAAATTTAAAAACAAGAAAAAACTAAATTACTGAGTGACAGCATGTTCATAATCTCTTGCATGTCATTGAGGGTTTGCAAATTTCAACATGTGTTGCCCAGTAAGAAAATATTGGTATTTAAACAAACCAGTTACATACTATACATCAAGTGAGAATACATAAACAAATTTTATTGATATATGGATTCTAAGGGAATATATGAATGATGCAACTATCAAGAAAGGAATGAGTTAAATGACCTAGGTAAGATTATTTCGGGGATCTACTGCATTTAACCCACTTAC